TTAAATATATTTCAGGAAAAGAGCACCTCTTGACCGCTTGGAGGGGAATAAGCTGGGTTGAGCTGCGCCGCTGGATCCTGACGAGCTTGCTCCATCCATTTCCATCAAATGATTAGATCCGAAGAAAACCTAACAGATCCATCAAAGACCCAAATCGCTCATCTCAAGTTTTTCCAACGTACTGAATTAACGAGCTAGAATCGGCACGGTGCGGATCGCTCGGCCGACTTCAGGTATGCATTTAGGTTCAAATTATCCCAATAAAATAATATTTGACTAGTTTAATTCTTTTTATTTATCATGCATCTATTTTGATAAATCTCTCTTATATTTTGTATTTAAATAAGTATCATCTAAAGTGCTTTTAAGATCAACTTATCCTAAAATTAAGATGAAAATAGGTGAGATGTAGAAGCCATGATCTCAATGATGATTGAAACATCCAAGTTTTTTTATTCTATCAGTAAGGTTATATTTTAAGGTTCGTAATTTGTTTGACCCTCGTGTCGAACATATTATGCAAATAACAAGTGCAAATTAGTAATATGATTACAGTTGAAAGAATTGTTGACAACGAGGTAGACATGCAAGGCATAAGCTTTCAGAAGTGGCACTTACTTGTTATCAACACTAATGAAAGAGACACGAGAACAAAAAAAGAAAAATATTTTAGATATGTGTCTTTACTTCTCAACCACAACAACCATTGTTAGCTATAAGAATTCTAGGAGAAAGGGTTTGTCTGTTGTCACCAACATCACCAAGGGATTGAGCAGGCAAATTTCTTGGATGTCAAGCTTGAATGCAAAACAAGGATACTACCCATTCAATTCTTAAGTGTATCATGTAATAAAGGGCAATCCTCGATTCTATCATAAATGTGTTATCCCCCACCCTTCCACTCGCTTACCATACCCTAGACGCAGATATAACAATGATGATGGTAGTCATCGTTCTCCACTAATGCCTGAGAATTAAGGAAGAAATACCTCAATTCAAACTAAAAGATCAAACTAGAGATTTGAACTAATTTAGAATCAAATTGAAACATTAGATTTGAGCAAAGACTTAGGCCATTGCATCAGTATAAAATTTTGTGTTATTTCAGTCCAAGAAATACTTTGGGTGATATTTGGTTGAAATGCTTAGTCTTGCCAAGAGTCCTTTTAATGTTATCAAAGTAATAATGAATTCTCAATCTTTTCAAAATATTAAATAAAAGATCTATTTATGGGTGAGATATTTTGGCGATTTCAATAAGAAGAATAAAGTCACTTATAGATATTGAGACTGGAAAGAAGATAGCTCTTAGAAATTCTAACAAAGCATTACCAAAGATAACTATAAGTTATGGGGTGATTATGTAACACCTAAAATTTGAGAAACGTTAAAATTCAACTGCTATGTAAAGCACCACCAATTTCATATTCTTCAAAATTCAATTGAAATAATTTTATAAAATTATACACATGAAATCAAGCAATTCAATAGAAAACATTACATATGAATTATAGACGGGTTGAAATACATTAAATTATATAAAGTCATAAGTTTAATTAAAATAATTAAACCCTTAATTGTTTTCCCAATCCCTCCCTAATTCTTGCATTGCTGTTTGTTGCTGCCTTCCTGTGTGATATTTATCATTGATTCGGTCGAATAGGGCCTCTAATGCTTCAAAATCCTCTTTCTCCTGAATTTCTCTCTTTTGATTCTCCCTCCCTCTCTCCCTCTCTCTCCCAACAGCAGCTCGACGAGGACTCTACAGCCCTTGTTATAGTGCATCAATGAGCAGGTGAAGATCAAGCGACGCACAAGAAAGCCACTAGCGTCATTTCAAGCTTCGAGAATAAAATCAAATGTTACGAATCTCACTCGTTCTCTCATCATTTGAGACTTTCATTTCCTTCCCATCTTTTTGTTTTGACATTTACCTCTATTTTTTTGCATATTTTTTTTATTTTTGGTAACTGAGCATCAAAATTGTATCAGAAGCGTTTGTTGACCTCATTTTTGAGGTCTTCCTTTCCCTCTCCCTAAAGCATGGAATCTAGCTTTAGAATTTCCTATTTAACTCTCCTAGAGGACTAGTACTGTGACCCCCACTATTTAGAAATTCAAATCATTTCTTAATTCTTTGTAGTCTCATATGAGTAGTTTCAAATCATCGGCATTTAGTTGAGCCGATTAAATTTAACATATTGAAACTCAAGTCAAGTGCATATAAGGATTTGAAAAGCCATACAGAAACCCCACAGTGTACAACAAGCGACTCGTTGTCGTGAGCGGTATGCCTGACTTTGGTTGTTGCTCAGGAGAGGACCGGTTAGCACTTTGCTCGCTAAGTGGCTTCGGTCAAACCAAAATACTTCACTTATCGTGTTGCGTGCGATCGAACTCAAATTGACCCGATCATTGGCAAACTTGTCCAAGCAACCCCGGACGACGAAACAAACCACGCGAGCTCGTATGAGACGTCAGTTTTACCTAAAATTGACACCCATTTTATTATGATTTCGCATACAGACCAGCAAAACATGAATTAGAGTGTTTAAATTTTAACATAATATAACAATGATATTAAAAAAAGGATGCTTCTAAAACCCTAACTCATGCACCCGGTACCCCTCTCCTCATGTGTCTCCCATTTGACCAGGAGCCCTAGCCCGCTCGCAGCATTCCCACACCCACTCCCGCTTCTTGGTTGACGACCGTTTCTTTCTTTTCTTACCCGACACCCTCTACCCAAAGTTTTTTTTCATCTCAATGCTTGCCCATGCCTCATGGGACGACAGGGCCTCATAATCCTTCTCTTCCCCCTTCGGTAAGTTTGACCCTGCAAGCTTGTCTCGTCAAAGCATTCAGTGGGCTAAATCTTCCTCTTTATGATGCTTCTCTCTCGGTCAAGTTCAGCCCCTTATCTGCATTCTTAGGCTCCCCATGTTTCTCTATTTGATGGCTTGTTCATCAAAATTCCTCTCTTCTTCTTCTTCTTCTTAAGTCGTAAGCTACCTCTACAGGATCCTCCCCACGGTAAGCCTCTTATTTTTCCCCTTTTTCTCTCCTTCTCGGCAAAAAACAGGCAGCTTTAAAGGAAAAAACAAAAAAAAAAAATCCTTGATGAAGGATTCCTTGTGCTCGGTTTTCTTGCTCATTCAGGACTATCTTGTTGCCCAAACTCCATTCACTCCTTTTTGGATTCATTTCTGGAGGTTTGAGTTACTCAGCTTAATGCTTAAGTTTATTTTATGGCTATTTTGATTGAGGTTCAGAGGCCTGATGGAAGTATGTTTAGCTATTAGGTTGAGTTAACTCTGATAGGAATGATTTAATGTCGTGCTTAAGATTTGCCATACTTTTCGGTGATAATCCGAATGCAGAGGTAGATTGTGCTTTACTTTATGATTAAAACAAAAAAAGCATATAAGATTCTTGGAATATGGTACATTGAGATCCTAAGTTTCTTGTGGATGTTATACTTCATCATGTGGCTTAAATGTTCATGTTTTTCTACAAAGAAATAGTTTTATTTATGAGGAGGCAATTATGAGCTTGAATTCATTGATTCAATGTTTGAACGACTTGAACATGCCTTGGTACATACATACAGGCTTCTTCCCTTCCATTAATTAACCACCTGCTTGTTGATAAGCTTTGGTTGGGTTGAAATTTAACACTTGTTTAATGAAGTGTGACACATTCAATGTATTGGTTAAGGATGTTTGAAAGATTTGCAATATTAATTATTTAGTAGGTTCGATTTACTCGATAGTTATACTATCCCTTTTTTTGTGAGAGCTAATTCGACGATTGACAAACTTTAAAGTGCACATTAATAATTCTTGTGTATACCCACATATGCAAACCAGATTATTGCGAGATTTAAATATTTAATGCCTTTAATTCCTGCATATTCATATGTCTAAATAATTTGAAATTTGGGTTCTTTCCATTTGTATTACTCTGCTTATACATTTAAAGCTACATTAATTCTTTTTTTTTTATATCCATCAAAGATTTGGATGCTATAAATGTGAAATTTGAGTGTTAGGTGTGTAAATATGTACTGAAGTGGATGGTAAAAAATGCAAAGGCTTGTTAAAATACTCGGTAACATTGGTTTTATGGATATCTGAAATTTATGCAGCTTGGCTTTATGCAAATCTGAAATTTCTATGAGTTGGCTTTATGCAAACCTGAAATTCATATGTATTGGTTTTATGGAAAATCTGAAATTCATACATATCGATTTTAGGCAGAGCTGAAGTTGTTACATGAATTAACTTAGGCTACTTAAAAATTTTTGCCTAATATGCTTGCTACTTCAGTTAAATAAGTTTGTTTTCTTGGCTCGATATTTTCGTCGTTACCGCTCAATAAACTTGTTGTTTTTAATACAATTTTTTGTAGAGGATCTAAAGACTGGTTTTTCTTTGGGCTCGAATATGTGATGTTTTGGAGGATTTAAAATGCCTATTTTAGTGTTCATTATTTGTTGTTTTTTCTTAACTGGACAAAGGCTATTTTAGAGAGGTTTAATGCCCTCTTTTTGGGCCAATTTGTTTGTTGTTTTAACTCGAGACCTGTGCTATTTTGTGAAAAATTTCAATGTCATTTTGGGGGCTGCATATGTGTTGTTTTTTAGTCAAATTTTAGTGTCGTTTTAGGGCTGTATATGTGTTGTTTTTTAGGCAAATTACGGTGTCATTTTGGGGTTGCATGTGTGCTATTCTTTAGGCGAATTTAAGTTATGTTTTGGGCTGCATGTGTATTGTTTTGGGCTTGAATGCTATTTTGGAAAAGGTTTAACCACTATTTTGAGTTGATTAAGTGTTGTTTTGGAGGATTTAAATGCATTTTTTTAGGCCAAACATTTTACCATTCTAGGAGTTGTTTAAAGATCTCTGCAACTTGATTTTTCTTTGCTTGGTGATTCAATTTGTGTGTTTACCTGAATACCACTTATATGCAAATATAAGTGGAAATATGCCTAATGTGGCTATATATGGATCATCGAGCGGGGTTATAAGTCAAACGGTTTGAGGCTAAATGACAATGATGAGAAACACTTTTGGTGCTAAATGTGAGATAATAGAATGGTATCTCCTGACCCAAGGACATTCAGGAGGGCACATGATCGATGTTACTATTCACCAACGCTTGGTCGGAAGTTGTCCTTGCTTATCGATAGCTATAGTCCAATCGGAGTGATTAACTTATGGACTATTTGATTTGCAAAAAACATATATATAACATGACAAATAAAAAAAAAAATGTTTTCTCGTGACACCACTATTTTTTATTGTTAACTAAAAGTTTATTTTATATGCCTGACAAAATAAGAATTTTGGATGTTATTCTATATAAGCCCACTTGTTAATCACTTTAAGTATGATAGGAGTTACCCTCCTTTGACTATTTTGTCCGTAGCTTCTACCCAAGGTTGGACGGGACAAAGCACACATATTGCTTATGGTTGCCTATGGATGTCCCTCGAGAATTATAAGTCCGAGCCTACCCTTAACTTGAATTCTTATAACCAACTCCGATATTTTGTATATGTGCCACTTGATCTTTTATTTACACATATATCATGTATTTCGTGCTTGTTTATTCTCAATATTTACATGCTTTTTTTTGTGATTCTAACATATTTGCAGCAACGTCAGAGGTGACAGGTACGTGCTACTACTTTCTCTTTTACTGCAGTCTACTGCATATATCTTGTTTATAAATGCAATGTTACCATTTCGTTATTTGCTATACTTATAGAGACTCCTAGGGTAGAGTACAATAGAACACATGTTTAGAGGGAACCTTGTTGCAAAGCTAATTATTGAACAATAATGTGTATCTTTACACACTCTTCAAACCTAAAGCCATCACAATAAGGAGCCCGGGGCGAACTTTCTGGGGAGCAGACGAGGATGCGAGTGGATAGAGGACAACTTAATTAACAATAAAGCAAGTCTACTTCTGCAAAACTTTTCCTTAGTTTTAAATAACATAAACTCATTAGCTTCGAGGTTGTTTGTTTAACACGACATAAATCCTCCAACTATTTTTTAGGCTTTCACATGATCGTATGTCTTGCGATTATAAGTCTCAAATTCTTTTAGGATTTCAAGATCGTCGTTCGATACGATATATAAATCCTTCTACTTTCTTGGGTCGTGATGCAGATATAAGTCCTAAAATTTTAATAAATGGTAGGAATAAACATCAAATAGTATCATTTCAAAAACATAAATCCAAATAATATGCTAGCTTAGGAAGTCATCAAGGTTCTTCTCAAATCTGTGGTATCTCCTACTTTTCACTCCTTTAACCTTCAAAATAATTGTTCCTATTTGAGTCATTTCCACTTGAATTTCCTATAAGCAATCATGAATACTTAACATTAAATTCTTGAAGCAAAACCCTTGATCTTAATCGAGAGTTTTCTTAGATGACTTCGATTGATTAAGATGTAATTAACTACAAGGTTTTGCCTATATAGAAGAATTAGTAACCCATATAAATTAAATCCTATATAGTTCTTATATTATATAGATGAATTGTCTGCCATAAATTTTGGAAACCAAAATAAAGTCATAAAGTTCTTAGTTAATAGTTAAGTCTACTAACAAGTGATACATTAATGTTTTGAGATGGTATACCACTTGCGATATCGTGTTTAACTATTTAAACTACTAAATATATGAGTTCCATCTTGTTTCATGTATTTCAAAAATTAAAACACTGTTATATATTATATTAAATTATTTTCAAGTCAACAGCAAATTTAAATTTGGCGACCGACGACGTTAAAAATGATTTAAAAGCTTTCAAATGGGTTTTAACATGAAATAAGCAAATAATACGTGATTTTTGAGGTGTTATGAAAAGTTGGTGAGAAAAAAAAACCATTGTGGAAGGGTTGTTTTGTCGAAAAGTTCATTTGAGGTATGTTTTAGGCTAAATTATGAAATAAGTCAGTTTCATGACTTCCTAAGATACTTATAGTTATCAGGTTGTTTATACAAGGTTGGGAGTTCGAGACGAGTTTGAGGTATGTTTTAGGCTAAATTATGAAATAAGCCAGTTTCATGACTTCCTAAGATACTTATAGTTCTCAGGTTGTTTATACAAGGTTGGGAGTTCGAGACGAGCACATGGGCACTCGTCATAGGGCTACTATGTCACGTTAGATGAAATAATATTTTACTAATTTAAGAAAAATAATCTTTTATAGGTTTTCATGTGATTCGACGTTCAACACTGATGCATTTAAAATTTTTGCATGTTATGGATGAATACCTACAAGTAAATGTATGAATGCTTGTTGACTTCACTTATGATAAATGCGATGTTATTTTATGTTATGGTACAAGTGATAAGCTTATGAAATCAATTGTCTGCAGGTATTCATTTGTTATTATTCATGTATATGACATATAATGTCTGATAAATGTTTGATACATGAAGGATGATTTAAATGTAATAATTGTTATGGGTAAACTATTACATAGTGTTTGTAAGCATACTATATAAGCATGTGCTATTGTTGACTCCTGATATTTAGACATGGACAAAACTCTAAGAACTGTTAGAATTAGGCGGTGACATAACATTAAGAAACCATTGGTATCAGAGAGGCTACTAATAATTGTTATGTTGAGGGAATCCCAACTTTTATTGATAATTTATATGACCTCTGGGCAGGGTGACAACTCATGATATGAAATGACATGAACATAGCTGAGGACTATATATTTACAAGTGACATTATTATAAAATGACATTGTTATGATTACATACGATAAATAGTTTATGACATGCTTTTGATATACTTATGATTTCATACTCATGATTATGCATGTTTAATAAAACAATCTTAATTTATACATTACCTGTTTTTTTTTTCATAGTCTCTAATATGTTAGCATATTATGACTTGTGAGTAAACATGAACAATTTTATATGAGTATGCACGTTGTTTCTTTTCAGTGCATAAAATCTCATGTTAGCCTTAATTATTTTTTTGAGCTAGTTGTTGCTCACTCTACGTTGTTACCTTTCAAGTAGGGGCAATGAGCACTTGCTCATAACGATATTAATTTCAAGTTCTTAGATGAAGATCCAATGTGCGTGGCTGCAGAAGCATTCAAACATCAGGTTAGACATTCATCACCCGATGTAGACTTCGATACAAATGTGCACAACACATTCGAAGGAGAATGTGTTCAAGAGATAATTCAGTTAAGAGAAGAGTTATGAATGCTTTGATGAACTCATCAACTATGTTTATTCAGCATTTTGTATTGTCTTCTTGTAGATATTTTCTATTTCAACTATATTGTGAATTTTTAGATGACTAATTTCTATATTTATGTAGCATTTTGTCTTGATGATTTCTTTATGTGTACTTTCTATTTTATTTTATAAAAGTGAATATTTTTTATTGTTTTATTACGTATTGAGTTTGTTTTGTCAATTAAAGTCATATTGTATTATAATCACAGAAAAAATGAGTTCAAAATCATCAAGTACTTTGGGAGTTCCGTACTAGCACTATGGTATGCAGAGTTTTGAGTAACAATCAGGAAGAGAAGATAACTACAAGTGAAAATTTTATTGTTGTCCAATAAACAAGACACCTCAAGATTGCATGCATTTTTGTTGGGCTGATGATACAGATTAGTTTGCTCCAGATAGTGATCAAGTGAGAAGAGATGCTGTTGTGGGGAAAAAAAAATATGCTAGATACTTGATCGTCATGACATGAAGACGAACGTCATTATAGCCTTACTGAATATGTTGGTGGGCTTTTCATTTCAGATATATGAATAAAATGACTAATGACATTTTATGTATTGGAGAATTTTGGATTGCTTGTATGGTTTTTGTATTGTCGGATCTGTTTTTGTTACTTTGTTGTAATTATTTTGAAAACTGCAGTTATTCTGAGAAATAACATATAAAAGAGCAAAACAATCTTTTTATCAGAAACAACTGCAACACAAGAGATATCTAAACAAACTATTGCTTTTTTAAGAGTAGTTTTTTGGCATTACATGAGAAGCTGCTTCTAGGAAAAGCAACAACCACCCCAAACACACTCTAAATCATTTAATTATAGTATGCCTAAGATAATACTTTTTTTTTATAGTAGTACGAACAATTTTGCATATGTAGAAAACATACATTAAAATGAATTTAGCACATTACCAAATTTGTTATCTTGTAGTATGTTAGTTTTCTGTACCAGATAAGAAGTATCAAAGAGGAGGGGCGTTGTACGAAGCCTTCATTGACAAGGCTTAAGGAAACTTCCGACAATGGTTGATATTTGGCATGAAAGAAATAGAGGATTGATGGGAAGATATATTAGCAGTGATGTGGAGCATTCAACCGAGAATACTGACAATAGAGCTGCAGAGGAATGAAGGAATAAGGAAGGATCGTAATAAAAGCCTCACAAGAATGCAAGAATAAAGAAACAATAAAATGGTGAAGGCAAAATAATGTGAGAGAAGGAGTTGATCGAACAGATAAGATATGATAATACAATTTTTTTAAGGATAATATCTTATTTCTTTAATAAGAAAACAATGAAACACAACTTAAGTATTTATTTGAGGCAGCTGCAGAAGAAACTGTTATTCAAAAAATTTGTAAACTATTACAAATTTTTTTGTTGAAAAAGTCTTTCTGACAACTACTACATTTAGTTAAGTCCCGTGAGAAAACACAACTTTAAGCTATGGTTTTTTTGAAAAAACATTAAAAAAAATTTATTAAATAATAAAAAAAAAACTGTGGTGCAACACCACACCACCGCTACACCGCCACCTCAAACGTACCCTAAAACAACAATCACGATGACTTCTCCTAGGTTTAGATCACAAGTACAATCACAAGTGAAATACAAAGTTATGCCCCCAATCCATGTTGTAAGTAATCCCAAATATGAAGAAATATTACATATTTACAAGGAGCTTAATAAATATAATATATCCTCCAAAAGTATTCGCTTTTGGGATCGGGGGAGTTTGTATTCCCCTTGCTTTACCTATAAAATGTCGACGAAGAAAAATTTGCCTCCTGGACGTAAGCGCACGATCTCTATTGGCTTGAGGAACCATGTCGCTAGTGGCTGGCTCCTACGAGAAGTTTATCTGGGGTTTCTCCCTAAAAACCCTAGACTCCTCTCCCTCCGGTGAAACCCTAATCTTAAAACCCCTCTTCTCCTACCCTTCCCACACAGCCCCAATCAAGTCAGTTGCCGCCGCCGGTCCCATCGCCGCATCCGGTGGCTCCGACGACACCATCAAGATCTACGACCTCACAACCTCCTCAGAGATTGGTTCCCTTATCGATCATTCAGGTGCCGTGACAGCCCTCGCTTTCTATACTTCCCCCATCGCCCACTCTCTTCCTCGTAACCTCATCAGCGCAGCTGATGATGGAAATCTCTGTATCTTTGACGCCGATCCCTTCGTCCACCTCAAAACCATACCCGTGCACCGTCGTGGCGTCACAGACCTTGCAGTGCACCCATCCGGCCGCCTCGCCCTTACCGTCGGGCGGGACTCGTGCCTGGCGATGGTTAATTTGATGAGAGGGCGGCGTAGCTTCGCATGTCGCCTTGATCGGGAAGCGTCGATCGTGAAATATGGATCAGAGGAAAGGTTCTTTATGGCCGCTGAGGAGAGAATAACTGTGCACAATGCCGAGGATGCCAAGATTGTGCAGGAAATGGTTGGTCAGAAGCGCGTCCTCTGCATTGCAACTGGCGAGGTAGCGAGTTTGTCAAATTCTTTACCTTTCAATTGATAATTGTTTGTATCAGTAAAATTAAGAACTCTTTAGTTGCATAAGTTAAATGGTGTAATCATAAGGTTTATAGATTATGAGGATCTCGCCATTATGGAGTCTAGGGAAATTTATTTAAGAGAGTTGATGGTATTGTGTACTCGGTAGGTTAATTCTATCACTTAACTCTTATATTTGTGTCTGTGCATTAGAGTATTAGAATAGAGAAGTGAGAAAAGAAAAACAAAGTTCCTTCTTTGATAATTTTCTTTGCCTAAATATTTATGTAATGGGTCTGCAACACATTTTAAGATTTTAAATTTATTTAGCGGTTGAGCTGAATGATAAATTAATTGATTTAATTGTGCTTTTGTATTGAAGATTTTTATTTTCTAAGTTGAGCCGAGTTTAGACACTGGTGGTTGCAACTTCCTTAAGCCGTTTTGTTTTTTGTTGGCCTGCTTACTACTGGAGAGCTTGCACCTTGATAACTTCAACTTCGTTCAATTTTCAATTCTTTTGTAGTAATGTCCTTATTTTATTAAATCATAAAATACACTGCATAGGCATTACCATAGTTACCAAGAATATCTTCTTATTGTGTTTACATGGGAGTAAATGAATTGACCATTGTTCCAAGGTTATGAATTGTCACTTACCAATGAATCAATTGTTGGTTCTTTGAGTCTCTACGAGATCCTTTTTGGGCTGGCTACCACTCATCTTTTTCCTAAAACTATTTAATTTTCTTGCGCTATCGGATCCTTGGGCTTGTGTGCCATTTTATCGAACAAGGGAGGAAGATAATTTCTAATTGCAAGTCTATGTTGCAAAGTTACGCTTAATTTATTTAAGAGAGTTGATGGTATTGTGTACTCGGTAGGTTAATTCTATCACTTAACTCTTATATTTGTGTCTGTGCATTAGAGTATTAGAATAGAGAAGTGAGAAAAGAAAAACAAAGTTCCTTCTTTGATAATTTTCTTTGCCTAAATATTTATGTAATGGGTCTGCAACACATTTTAAGATTTTAAATTTATTTAGCGGTTGAGCTGAATGATAAATTAATTGATTTAATTGTGCTTTTGTATTGAAGATTTTTATTTTCTAAGTTGAGCCGAGTTTAGACACTGGTGGTTGCAACTTCCTTAAGCCGTTTTGTTTTTTGTTGGCCTGCTTACTACTGGAGAGCTTGCACCTTGATAACTTCAACTTCGTTCAATTTTCAATTCTTTTGTAGTAATGTCCTTATTTTATTAAATCATAAAATACACTGCATAGGCATTACCATAGTTACCAAGAATATCTTCTGATTGTGTTTACACGAGAGTAAATGAATTGACCATTGTTCCAAGGTTATGAATTGTCACTTACCAATGAATCAATTGTTGGTTCTTTGAGTCTCTACGATATCCTTTTTGGGCTAGCTACCACTCATCTCTTTCCTAAAACTATTTAATTTTCTTGCGCTATCGAATCCTTGGGCTTGTGTGCCATTTTATCGAACAAGGGAGGAAGATAATTTCTAATTGCTTTTAAATTTTTATTTTTTCTAAATTGTGGATTATTTACGAATTGTTTTCTAACTTTAACAAAACCTTAATGACTTAACTCTTATATTTGTGTCTGTGCATTAGAGTATTAGAATAGAGAAGTGAGAAAAGAAAAACAAAGTTCCTTCTTTGATAATTTTCTTTGCCTAAATATTTATGTAATGGGTCTGCAACACATTTTAAGATTTTAAATTTATTTAGCGGTTGAGCTGAATGATAAATTAATTGATTTAATTGTGCTTTTGTATTGAAGATTTTTATTTTCTAAGTTGAGCCGAGTTTAGACACTGGTGGTTGCAACTTCCTTAAGCCGTTTTGTTTTTTGTTGGCCTGCTTACTACTGGAGAGCTTGCACCTTGATAACTTCAACTTCGTTCAATTTTCAATTCTTTTGTAGTAATGTCCTTATTTTATTAAATCATAAAATACACTGCATAGGCATTACCATAGTTACCAAGAATATCTTCTGATTGTGTTTACACGAGAGTAAATGAATTGACCATTGTTCCAAGGTTATGAATTGTCACTTACCAATGAATCAATTGTTGGTTCTTTGAGTCTCTACGATATCCTTTTTGGGCTAGCTACCACTCATCTCTTTCCTAAAACTATTTAATTTTCTTGCGCTATCGAATCCTTGGGCTTGTGTGCCATTTTATCGAACAAGGGAGGAAGATAATTTCTAATCGCTTGACGAATTGTTTTCTAACTTTAACAAAACCTTAATGAAGTTGTGTTCACAAACAATTTCATGATATGTTTTTTTTTTTGGTGATTTTTGTCTTGCACTATTTTAATGCATATAAATTGATCTAATTCACTGATGTTGATTTTCTTAGCAAGTTTTCTTATGATTTCATTGTTACTTGATTGTTCTAGAGCGGACTCTTATTTACTGGTGGGGAGGATAAAAATGTTATTGTTTGGGATACAACAAGTGGAAAAGTTGCATACTCCATTGATGGTGCTCATTCAACACGTGTTAAAGGCCTCGTTATATTCAAGAGGAGTGATGATAAAACTCATGAAGCTTTGAATTGCTTGGCTTCTGCATCCTCTGATGGTGTTATACGAATTTGGGATTTAAGAATGGTCGCAAAAGAGAAGACAACTCCTTTGGCAGAATCTAACACAAAGTCAAGGCTGACTTGTTTAGCTGGTTCATCTATATAATGTGAGTTCTTGTATTCTTTTCTCTACATTTTCTTACATCCTCTTGGAATTAGAATCCACAACGTGGCATGTTAACGATCTACTTACGACATAAACAAATATAATTGTGCATTTTGTTTGCTTGAGTTTAATCCAAATCTGATGTATTGTAAGAGATGTTCTAAATGTAATTTTCTATTGCATGTTTTATGTTATCATTTTCTATGGAAGGAAATGATAGTTGCAACACAAAATTGTTGATGTTATTACTTATGATAATTAAACTTGATTAATATTTATTGATTAGGGTGATTAAAATTAATTAATATCAAGTCTTCTGTACACCCGCTCCCACTTCCACTCTTAACCCTTCGTGCTTCTCCATTTTGATGTTAAAAGCAGCACGTTTACTCCCATAGCTCACAACTTCCCTTCTTCCTATTTTATTCATTTTGAAAACCTAGGAGAACCTACAGGATACCTCTTCCTCTTCGTTGAAGTGATTCCCTCAACGACTCTCCCGATCGTGCTTCGAGAACAAGCATAATACTCCTTCGATGTTCTTCTTCCCAATCCACACGATAGAGTTGCCTTGTTCTACCACCCGTGTTGGCGAGACACGAGAGACACAAACCACATGTTTCATGTGGCAGAGCCGAAGCCTTTCTCCATTTCGTCATTCTATTCTTAGCTCCCTTCGTTACGCACACAACAAACGGACTAAGCTTCACTCGTCCTTCTCAGTTTCACGTGCTCTGTCCTTACTCTAGACACTCGAATCTCCTATCCTGGTTGCACAACACCAACCTCAAGCAATTTTCCACAGCCTCTACTTTCTCCTTCCAATCACATCGGCTCCTTGCATTGAAACCCGCACCATCGCCGTTCTTCTCCCTTGTACGTTGAAGCCACTCCATTGTTCACCGCTCGATTGTTCTCCGCTCTTTCCTGCCCCGCATCTGAGCTACTTTCCTCTGCACTGTAAAAATAACTTCATCCGCTTATATACAGAAAACCCTCCTATAATCCAATCAGACCTGAAACTTCGCTCTTTCTGCACCTGCTTACCTGCCTCACAAGCGATCTGATTCTCTGTTGTGCAAGAAATTCGCACGACAGAACCACTCGGTCGATTCTTTTCCACCCTAGCCAACACCCTTCATTTGTTTTACACGACAGAGAAGACAAAGACGTCAGCCTAGCCCACCAAGCTTGTATTTCTCTCAATAGACTTCCTTCCCCACTTTAATATTTTATGTCATTATTATATATTAGATACATGTATAATTTTATAAAATATCAGAAAATTGTGTTGTATTTTCATTTATTAATTTCATTGTTGTTGCTTCAACTCCGTTGATCGCTGATATCTCTGGTTCAAATTGGAAAGGTTTGAAAATGGGCGTGGAGTCGAGACTTTTAAAATATTCATTCAAGAAAGCTCGAGTACTCCACTTTGGGAATTATGTAGCTTTCGAGAAATTTGCAAACTTGTTTGAAAATTTTTTATAAAGTCAGAGATTTATATACTCGTCTTGGGAAACACGAGTACATATCATTAGGAATTAAGTACCATTTAGATAATATAAATTAATGTTCGAGAAAATGTTTGCGTGTGATTTGTTATTTTTTGCAGGTACATCGAAGGCCTATAACGCCTTTTGAGATCGTCTGTTAAATGCATATTTTTGCTCTCTGACCGCAATGTGGCACGACACTGACCAACGAATCTTGTAAGACCAACATTCTCCTGGTGCCCCTCTAACGGGGGTTGATATTGGGAGCATGCCGAAATTTCGTGTGATTTGATTTTGTTAATTAACGAAAGGCTTTTTACTTTTCGGAACTTTTGAAATAATTTAAAATGTGAATTTTAAAATAAAATTTAAATCTGGGCTTTTAATGTTTATACTCTTACGGTTTAAAAATGACTTGAATTCAAACTTTGAAATTTAGGCTCTTAGGGTTGCAAAATAAATTGGATCTGAACTTTTAAAATGTAGGCTCTTAGGTCTTGAAAATAAAATAACTTTTTTTTAAAAAAAAAATTTAGGCTTTTAGAGTTTAAAAAATAATTTAAATTTGGTAAAGGTTTAAAAATAATTTGAATTATGGCTTTTAAAATTCAAATTTACGCCCTTAAGGTTTGAAAAATAATTCAAACATAGGGCATTTGAAATTTGAAAATTCATCAATGGATTTGCAATGCACCTGCTAGCGAACAAAAAACAGTCCCTGTTAAAGCCCAAAGGTTTAACCTTACGTACACTCCAACAAGATAATACCCAAATAATTATTTATAGTTTCATATGACTTTAAAGTCTTCAAAGCCTATACAAACTTCGTGATCACTCCTTAAGTCAAATGAAATGTCTTAGAATCTTGAAGAGTAGTTTTAAAGCTTATGCGAATAATAAGTTGGACGCTCCTTAGTTATTATATGCTTTAAACTATTTATCAAAGTGAGTCAACTATGCATGTTTTCAAAATTTTGCATGTGTCTATTGATTTAAATTTTGTATCAAATTCATACTTTAAAGATTGTGCAAGGCATCAATATTCATAAAATTTTTAAGTCATTCAAACATATGAAATTTAAAACTTGCATGTGCTCCATCGAAATGAACTTAAGTATTTAAAATTGTACAGTCTGATGATGTCGCGCAATTTAAAATGAAGTTTTCAGTTTTCTTCTGATAAGCATGCAAGTTTCTTTTAAAAAAATTAAGATTACTTTAAAATAAAGAACCCACATATATTTAAAGTCAAATCGAAGATAGTTAAACTATGCATGCTCTCAATTGGGTTGTATTGTTTATAGAACAATGTTGTAAGTCCCACCCAACTGGTTCGATCACCCTGCTTGTAAGGTCTGGAGTTGACGAATCTAATGATTTTGAAATAATGTCCAAATCTCTAATATAAAATTTACAACTTCAAATCCCCTAGTTTGATCCTCTACCTCGCAAGGATTGGACTTGACAAGACTTGTATTTTAAAGACATTCAAGTATTCAATTTCAAATAAATTTCAAACTCAAGTTTTTTCTAATGTTCAAATTCTCGATGATAGCCGAGTTGACAGAATATTTTAAAGATTTTCAAAATAACCAACCAAAATATTCAAGTAAAATTTATCTCTTAAAAGACTTAAAAATAAATTTCATTCACCATTGATAACAGTTTATCGAGCATGACAAACTTTTGATTGATTTCAATTAGGCCTGAGCATTGGGCGGGTCATACTTCGCATGAACTGTGCTTATTCGGGCTTTGAACTGTCAAATCAGGCTCGGGCTGGGCTTGAGCTCGATTTCTATTTACAATTTTATAGCCAGGCCTATCAAAGTATCAAAAAGTGATTTAAAAAAAGAGGAATTAACCACCTTGAAAGCTTGCAATCGAGAAGTATACCTATGAAACTTAACCACTGGGCGGGTACAACCTATTTAGGCTTTGACTAAGTCATAGCAGGTTTGGGCAGGCCGAGACCGCTAAGGGTCTATTTGGAACAGCCTTCTGTCTGTTTTGCTTTTCAGGCTGCCATTACTGTTCTATTTAAAGAACTGCTTTCTTGCTGCTTTTTAGAAATTTTTGTGATAGAAAGCTATTTTTTCAACCTGAGCTATTAGAGTGCGGTGGTTGTCAAAAAGCTGTTGTCTGACTTTTTGAAATTAAAAGAAATTTGTAATAGCTACTGCAGTTTTTTGAAAAATAGTTTCTTCCACAACAGTTTTACAATTGCTTCTTAAAGTTAGTTGCAACTGCCCCAAATAGACCCTAAATTTTAATTTTTTCATTACTAAGCTCGTCCATTTTAAGAGGCCTTATAGCGAGCCCGTTGGGCCTCCCGCCTAATGCCAAGTCTAATTTCAACTCACAAAAGAGCTAATGTCACATTGAATATATCATTATATTTACACTCAAAGTAATATCATGCCAGTAAGGAAGTGACGAAAGTTATTTGTCCGCGTGATTTGACTCAAAGGCTCCACAAAATAGCAATTATGATCAGAGCTCTCTAATAATGTGATTGCCGCCAAATGACACGATTATATTATGGTTACTACTACAGCCTGTATTCCCCAATGACTTTCTGTCATTTGAGTCATGAACTACATAGGTGCAATTGTTTGACAAGAAGTCTTCTGTTAGCTAACGTCGACTTAAATTTGTCCCATTGGACAAATATACACCCCAAATCTATAAGTATCTTTTGTCTTATCTATTATGCATTTGAGTCATATATATATACCACAAATATACCCCAAATCTATAAGTATCTTTCTGTGATTTGAGTCATATATATATACCACAGATCAAAAAATCCTCGCACAATGAAGGTGAAACTTTTAGGTTGTCTTATCTATTATGCATCAACCTTCTTAAAATTTGACGCTCAAAGCCCTTTCAACAACACAACACATAAACAACAAAGAGTCCGGGACGTCAGAATTTTCGGAGCCCACAAAAATCCATCCATTTTTTTTGTCACATTTAAGAATGTTTAAAGCTGAGTTGAATCGATAATATGCTGATCCTGTTGCCCGGTCATAGTATTGGACCTTGTTGCCTTTTTATCAAGTATCATTTGTTATGATCTTAAAAGTGAAAAATGCTTCAATATAGCTTATCTACCAAAGTTTAAAACATCCCATTGGCATTTCTCTGAAGAAAGTTTTATTTCGTGCGTAATCAGCTTAGGATTAATCTTAATATGATTTTGAGAGGCCTTATGATTAAGTGCCATGAGCATAATATTGATACATATTAAGAAAAAAAAATATGTCCAAGGTTATTTAAGTTATTAAAGATATGTATGCGGGATTTTCTACTGGTGCTGGGATTAATTTTGGATTGACCAATTAGTTCACAATTATGGTTGGATGTATCAAGAGCACGCATTGAATTTATATGAATATTCAAAATGATGCTGATGAACATATTTGTTGAAAAGTGGAGAATAATAGTGAAATGTTTACAAGATAAAGTGTTTTGCTTAGTAGAACAAATAATAGGCACATAATATGCAATTTTAGCAAGGGTTATATCGACAATAAGGGTTATATCAACAATTATTAGTTGATATTTTAGAAGCCAACGGTGATACCAATATGGGATAGATTTAAATGTATTGAATCTATCATATGGAATAATGGGGAAATGGGCAAGGATGTAAATTTTAGTCTAAACTTAAGATTGTTTTGTTAAAATGTAGGACTTTTTTTGAGGAGTTTTATATGGTTAGAGATTTTTATGAGTCTTAAAGGTGAATATTATAAAACTATGTTTCAATCAGCAATATTGTATGGATTCAAGTGTTGATTACTAATAAAATTACTCATAACCAAGTTAAATGAGGCTGAAATGAAATTGTTAACATAGATATTTGCAGAAATTAGGAAGAATAACTTCAGGAATAATTATATTAGATGGAAATTGAGAATAGCATCTATTGAAGTCAAGGTGCTAGAGATGGGTTAGATCGTTTGGGCCTATATAATGAAGGGTGGAAAATGCACCTATAAGATTAGTAGATCTAATTAATTATAAATATTATGATAGAAGATGTAAAGGTAGCATGTATAGAATTTTTACAAAGTGGTTCATTGTCAATGAGTATAGAATTTGTATGAAAGCCTTTTTTTTTTTCAGTAAAGGGTTTAGCACTTCACAGCATTTAATAAGAATAACTGGAGAATGAGGATTCATAGAGATGGACCCAAGAAGTTGGGAGAAGATAATGATGATGATTTTTTTTTTCTTTGTAAAATGACTGCAACTTGATTCATGTATTAGTCAAAGATTTGCAAGGGAAAAGCTATTATTTATTTCTTTTTTTAAAGGAAATGCAAGTTGCTCCATGCATTGCTGCGTTGCCTCCCATGATTATGGCCTTGTTGTATCTTGTCTCATTGAAATGAATGTTTTAAAATTCAACTTTTTTTTTTTTTTCAGTTTCGGGCTCATTGTTTTAGGTTTTGATAGTTATGGTAATTTCTTTGATTTTGGAATATAATTTTTTATTGCAGTTTGGATTATATTTTTTCATAAAGTTCTTAAAGAATATGTTATATATGAAATGAAGTGGTTTATATAATTGGGTTCAAATAGAACACCTAATTTATATGAGATCTCAGTGACCGTATTTATAATAACTGGATGAATACTTGAGTTTTATTAAAAATTTATAGATTTTGGTTAAACTCTCAAATTCTTTCCAAAATTTTCTTAAATTCTCGAATCAAATAGAAGGTTTCAACTTAGTTTTTGATATGACAACTGAAATTTGTCTGAAATAACTGAGGCTGCTTTACATTTCTTGTGTATTTGAGGCATTCCTCTTATTTATATATGATAAGTTAATTTTTTGCATGTAGCGTAATAAGAAATTTGTCATTTGTTCTGTATTTTGAAGAGTAGCTGCTACAAAAAGATACTCCGAACTCTATAGGTTTTCATATTGATTGTGGAATATTAGATGTATTATAGGGGTCGGGGGTACCACATTATATCTTTGAACTCACATCCTTGTAATGCTCTCATTTGTGCTATCAATAATGCCTTACCAGATGTTATTTATTCAATTCATTGTCTTTCTCAAGGAATTACATCTATATAGATTATCTGAATGGCATAATAGATTACTACCCATACTAATAAAAAATTGTTATCTGCAATGGTAATTGTAGTTATATGATCAAATTCACTGAACCTTTTGTTTCATTCAGGAGCGTAAAATTTCACGTCGGACTATCCTTTAAAATGGGAAGAATCTCAGTGGATCCTTGCTGGTATGGTGATCCAAGGTATTTGTCGGATCGATGAAAATTTTGAGGTATTATTTGCTCTCATAAAAGATTGACCCGGGCGGGTGAAATTAGTTTTAGTACCTTAGTTTATGTAATTGTAAGATTCCTTGTTCTTTACATTAATAATTTTACATTTAGAACGATGAGAAGTCTGACTAATTTGTAGTGACTAGCGAACATGGTAATTCCTTCTTTGTGATCGGTGTAAAATTTCACATCTGATTTTTTATGATTTCGGGAGTTAACCTAGTCCTTTTATTTTGCTTTATTTTCTGGGGAGTTGGGAGAGTTTAATGGTGAAATAAAATGCTTGATAAAAGGATGCAATCTGAGCACCTAAACAATAATCTTCAAAACTAGTTTAGATTAATTGGCAGTAACCTCAAATTACTACAAACCAAGAAATGAATAAACTTTAGAAAAACTGGAGCAGCCAGAGTTATACTCTCAAAATCCACATTATTTTAGGGGCTTTTCCTTTTACTGAATAATGAATACATTTTAAAAAGAAAACTAATAAAGTTTATTTAAATATTTAGAGTTATTTGGTTGAGTAGAATGTAAATTATTATCATTATTATTATTTTTGTTTGGTTTGAGGTAAAATAGATTTATGTAATACTATGATGTTGGTAGATGATGGCAGTGGGCTGTGCTGCTAACTTTGCATGCATGTTCCTTGATTTATGTCAGATGACCATTCTTTAAACCATATGAGTGTTAGTTCATCATATTAGCGCATAAATCTTATGTAGTATAAAAATATGAATTTCTACCCCATTTATATTTTTTTATTAAGTATTATTAATGTGCTTTACTTCTAAGGTAGAGGAATTGCGATATGCGATATTGCGTTTATGCTACCGTTCCTCTATTTTATGAACTACAATCCATTTTTCTCTTCCTTTCCTTTCTAGTGTATTGGTTTTCCCCATAGAATGTGAACGTATGGAAAAGTGACAAGATTTTGCATATATATATATATATATTATTGCTTTCTTTTGCACTATAGTTTCTTATAGGATTTGATTTGATGATTATTTATTCATTTTAACTACACTAATACGAAGTAGATGAATTGGGAAGATCTTGTAAGAGCTACTCTAAAGATTGACAAATTTTTTTTTGCCTTTATAGAGCTCCTTATTCCTTTTTTGGTTATTGATGCTTAAGCTATGAAAATGTTTAGAGAAATATTTAGTGTTGAGTTTGAAGTCAATTTTCTAAATATTCAAACATAAAATCTTAAATGAAGGTTATCAGAAAGTGATAAATAAGGCTATCATAAAGTACTAAATGGAGAACACCAAATAAAAAATTCAATTATGGAGGCAACAACAGTTTTTAATAATTATTGATTAATTATATTAGAAGATAAATAGTAGATTATATATGCTCATAGAATTATTACTTGTAAAGCATCTCACAGTTATAAGTAAAAAAGAAAAGGGGAGAGGGAGAGAGAGAGACAGAGAGAGAGAGAGAGAGAGAAGACGTTCTTGTAAGCATACTATAGTTACATCCATTTTCATTTATTCCCACATAATTCTTATTGTTATATTTATTTATGTGTTGTAATCTCTCTCTGATTATCTTTTTAAAATGTTTAATGAAATATTAGATATCAATGTGGTCATGGATATTGGTGAATTTCACATAATCACATATATTCATGTGTTTTTTTTAGATATTTAATGTTTATTTTTTTATGCTGATTTAATTTCTACTCAAAGATTTTATCCTGAACCTAAAACAGATATCAGAACTTTAGTTTAAATAGCTTTTTAATTCGAGCATCAGTAATAAGTTATTAAACTTAATAAGTTTATTGGCCAAAATATTAAGTCTTAGAAGATGCAAATAGAAGATTATTTCTATATATTAAAAAAAATTCCATCAATGATTAATAGGAGTGAAATTCTAGTCAATTAATCAGGAAGAGTCAATCAATGGACAAGAAAGTTCTAGGGATTAAATGCCTTTCACTTTAATATAAACATTGCCATCAAAATCCTAAATGAGAAAACAGTTGGCCCCATGAAGCTGCACATTTATAAGTATGAAAAGCCCTTTATAGTTGATAAGTTATATATCATGTGCAAGTATTTAATATGAGGATGAAAGGAGCTTTGATCCGCTTCGATCATCAATCACATCAAGAAGTTCAATTGAATGAAAAAAATATCTGAACTCTATGAATATTAAGTTTGGTAGTAAATGAGTGTAAATGAGTTGAGCAAACTCGAGTCATATCAAGCTCAAGTAAGATACGACCAAATCAAACACAAACTCAACTTGTGCTCAAAGCTTGAGCTCAGGCTCAATCAGAAGCCAAAATCAGGATTTGTTGTGTATATGAATTGCTGCATCTTATGCATCTATGTCTATCTTCTAGTTTTTTTTTGAAATATTTGCTTTCACAAGTGCCAAAGCACAAAAAAAACATTTTTCGAACCTGTCCACATTAAAGATATTTCATGAATTTCATTTTCTTATGATCATGCTCTTCGAGATAACAAAATTATCAAGAGCCTCTTTTATTATTAGAAAAATAAATATACTTGGAGATGAAATATGGCTTCTTAATGCAAGCTGAGCATGTTTTTTATGCAGAGGGCAGGCTATAATCATGGCTTGAGATGGAGGGGATCTTGCTTCTCTGTGCAAGCTGAGCTGATCCATGTAGAGGGAAAGCTGTAGTCACTCATTGTGGGAGAATTAGGGTAAGGCTATAAGAGTGAGGAAATGAGATTGTCGTCATGACTTGCGAGAGACAAAACATTATTGTGGCGACTTGTGAGAGAATTGGATGTTATTGGGTGGATTCCATGATGACTCGAGGCATGTGAGAGTTAGAGCGGCAATGGAGTGCATGAGAGATGAGAGTCTTTGGAGGTTGGAGTCACGAGACCAAAAAGAAGAGACCAAAAAGAAGAAATTAAGCAAGCAGGAATTAAAGTTAATAGAACTTGTTAAATCCTAAAATCCATAAATCGATAAATTCATTAATCTACTAAACTCTTGGATTTAGTAAATCTAAAACCACTAAACTCCCTCATCTTATTTTTTGGCTGCATTAAGTAAACCCAGTGATAAAGCTTATTAAAAAGCTCGACCAAATAACCCCTTAAGTTTAAGTTTGAATGCCCCTTGCCCAAAAAGAACCGAACAATCGTGTTGCTCATGGCATCATTTAGTCGAGTCGGTGATTGCATGAACTCAAGCTTGATTACCAATTGTTTTTTAATAGAGACTTCAACCCGAGCTCGATACTTGATTAGTTTGGCTCATCAGTTCATTAACAAGCAAAGCTCGAGTCGGCTCAGCTAGTTACACCCCTATTCACAATAATACTCAATCGTGTCAAAATTCTTATCCTTAATGGGGATATGAAATGACATGAAAAAGTTAAAATGCATTGTCATTTATTTTAAAAATTGATATTGATAGAGGCTTTAAAAGTTCAACAATAACAAATAAAGAGGCACGTTAAAACTTTGTGGTAAGGATCTTCAATCAAATCACAATAGCAAAAAGACTCTAGTTTATCCAAATGATTGTGAATATTATGATTAACCTATTCATAATAAGTGAATACAAAAATAAAAATTTTAAAAAAAAGTGAAAAAGGTTATGAATGACATTATGGAAGACATGTAAGCTTCACTTATAATCAGCACCTACTGTTCAATAGAGAGACATATTAGACTCAAGTGTAACATTTTGATTTTTCTCTAATAATGATATAATGAAAAACTACTATACAAATAATTTTGTCAAAATATTTCTTACCTCATGGCGAGCTATCAAACACTATGGTAATTGGATATGATAACTAAAACAGTAAGTGATGACACTTAGACGTTGAACATCAACATTTAGGCATATTCTTGGCTTAAAGAGAAACTTGATGTCCACCAGGCCACTACATATAGAATAAGGCCATGCCACTTCCATTGATGATACTTGAAAATTGGCAGATGGGGCCTTGATGATTGCTCTAGTTGCTATGATAGGCACTCTTTACACCAGTGCTAACATTGAAATAATAATAAAAAACCACTAATATAAAGTACATTTAAATCTATGGCATTGAGGCTCTAGTGGTTAAATTCAAAATTTAAAATTCATTATATCCACCTTTGATGAAGATTATATCCTAAATAAATGAAAATGAGCTTTTTTCTTAAAGAATCAAAGAAAGCTAGATCTAAAAATCTAGAGTTATTATACACAAGTTTAAGGGGGTCATCCCTTAATAATTTCATAGGGAGGTCCTTGTAATAAATCACCTTCATTGATGCTATGCCAAACAAAGTATGGTTAACGTTGTTAAAGTTATGCTTAATGAGTGTACTACTTCACTGAAGTGAAAGAACTTAGCAAAATGTAAAAAGTAATGACAAAATCAAGTGGTTAAGATCCCATAAGATTATAATTCTAGAGAATTCAAAGGCCCGGTCAATTTCAAGGTCAAAAGGGGCAAGGTTGATTTCGACAACCCCATTGCATATACAAAGTGTTTATTTGAGGGAGCTGCAGCTGTTTAAAAAAAAAGCAAATGTGAAGCTATGGCAGGAAAGCATAAGTCTGTTGTGCTACAACTGTTTATGAAAAAAAAAGACTGAAACACTCTTATATGCATTTTGGTAGCCATAAGGCAACTATTTTAGATGAAATTCAAACATAATGACAAAAAATAAATAAAAATAAAAAACCATAGAAAAGATTGAGTACCGACTTCAATAATGATAATTTAATATATTTAGGCCTAGGAAGTATCATAAAATAAGTATAAAACTTAAATAAATATTAAATAAATTAATATAGTACTGAAATTTTTAATTACTTGTAAAATAAAAAAGCATCTTAAAAATTCAATGAATACATGAAAAAAATGTGATGAAGAGAGCAACAAGTAGACTTTAACTAAATAGTTATAAAATAAAAAACATCTTAAAAACTAAATGTATGGATTGACAAACTAATATGGCACGTTTAAGCGATGCAGAGAGCAAAAATTAGATTTTAGCTACCTAAAATGTTGACATATGACATATTTGACCTTAATATCAAATTTTAGATGTTAGATATGTGAATTCATAAGAACTTTGTGGTACGCATGTAAAAAAATAAAATTCAGGACATATATCCACATAGTTTAAAGTAATTTAAGTGGTAGAAAAAAATATATATGAAATCCAATTTCTACACAAAAAAAAAAATGCC